CAAACGGTGTTACCGAATTATCTACACTGAATCATTTACGATACAGTTCGAATTTACAGGTTGGGACTTCTAACTCGGTTTTAATAGTTAAACTATGAGTTTATCATAAACAATTTTTGTCTATTAACTAAGTTAATTACCATTCATAATATATAAATATTCTTCTCTCGGTTCATACAAAACTAGATTAACTCAATCGCTTGCTTTATGTTAACAAAATTTAATGAACACACCATGCTGATAGCTTAGTTGCAAAATAACATGCCAATATTAGAAAACAAATAAGTGAAGTGTAAACTGGGAAATATTAAAGTAAGCCAAATTTCATGGAATTTTTTATTCTAATTTAGAAAGATACTTATTATATCCGTTTATCCTATTGTTTTAGCATTTCCACTAATTTTATTACTATTGCCTTTGTAATTCACAGTACTACTTTTATTATTGACAGTAGTTTGAAGGTGTTAATAACAACGGAAATTTCTTCTTTCCTAGAGAAAAAGATTGAACAAAACATTTAGTATCATGAAACATCAATTTCGAGAAACAAATATTTCTCCCCCATTCAATTTTATTATATATATAATTGACTTCAGTTACACACGAATGGTTAACTGAAATTGTCCTGTAAATTTGGGAAAAGAAAAATGTTTATTATTAGTTAAACTGTGTTGACAGAAATCGGTTTGCTTATATTTTCCAAGCGAGCGTTTTCAGGAAATATTAAAAAACAAAGAGTGCTACAATAATTAATCATAATTATTTTTCGTTTCTATAGTTTACCGAGTTACTGGAATAATATAACTGGTAACAATGGAAAAAGACTTATGAATTCAGCGATGCATATACTGCATTTCAATGGAGAGAACCAATGTGGAAGAGATAGAAAAGTTAATTTATTTACAATATATTTTACTAGTGTTTCCTGAAAAACTTTCTAGCCTTATAATTGTTACCCAGTTGGTGCTTAAGTGCTCTCAATAAAATCCCTGTTATTTACATATGATTACTTGAAACAAGTTTGATCTGCAGCAAATGATCACATTTTTAAACTCCTTATTCAATTTTTGATAGACCAGAATACTGGGTCCTATGGCTAAAAGGAAGTTCCAAACATTCAGCTTTTTACCAATAAAAATAATATATTTGTAATACCCCAATCGTATTGTATGATGTTTAGTGGCTCAGTGTAAGCCATTTCAAATCAAATTAACCCTAGTCTAAATAGTGCAAAGGAACAAGGTAAAAAATAGGCCCGACTAAGTCAATGCCATTCCAGTCAAGGTGATTTATTTGAGATATATTTGTGTGTTAATGGGTAAAACATGTAGAACTTGTAATGTGGAAAAGATAGAGTTGATTTAGTGTGTGTAACAAGTGTGAGATGTGAATAGAACCAGGCATGGTAGCTTGAATAGATGGTCCAAGTCAGTTTTTTTGACCAAGTATTATTACGAAAATCCTCACCTTTTGGGAGCTCTTAAATGTAAATACTCCCCGATTTCAATTTATTGGATACTTTGCGGAATGATAATACAATACGAGATTCTTCAGAAATTACAAGGCCGATGCTCCTTCTAACAACCAGAGAAACAATTAATATAGGTACATAAAATGTTCTGACAATCTGGGAGAATCAGTCAAATAGCTACGGAAATGAGGAGATACAACTTGACGGTTCTTGGAATCCGTGAAACCCATTGGACCCAACCTCGACAGAAAACGATAGATTCGGGAGAGATGCTGCTGTACTCCAGGCACGAAGAAGAAAATGCCCCACACACTCGGGGAGCTCCTCTGATGCTGTCCAAAGAAGCACGTATTGGATGGGCATCTCACGGATCCAGAATCATCAAAGCATTTTTCAAAACAAAGGAGGGAATCACAATAAGTGTTATCCAGTGTTATGCAACCACCAATGACAGCAGCGACGACGACAAAGATCAGTTTCACAAGAGGTGCCGATCAATCTCAGCGAAGTGCCCAGGAAAGGACCTCACCATCTGATGGGAGACTTAAACGCCAAAGTCGGAATGGACAACACCGGGTATGAAGATATCCTGGGACGACTAAGATTAGGAGGGAGAAATGAGAATGGTGACAGACTTACAAATTTATATGCATCCAACAAAATGGTTATAGACGGCACCATATTCTCATACAAACGCATACACAAGACTACATGGATCTCGCCGGACCACACCACGGAGAACCAGATAGATCATATTTGTATCAATAAAAAATTCAGAAACCCAGTGGAAGACGTGAGAACCAGGGGAGGAGCTAACATTGCTTCAGATCACCACCTGGTGGTTGCCAAGATGAAACTGAAGCTAAAGAAGCACTGGGCAACTGGACAAACAGCATTACAATCATTCAATACAGCCTTCCTTAGATATACTGAAAAACTCAACCAATTCAAGATAACTCTCAACAGCAGATCCCAAGCCTTACAAGATCTACTCAAAGAAGAGAAAATTACCATGAAGAACAACTGGAAAGGAATCAAAGAAGCACCAACTTCGATGTAACAGGAAGTGTTCGGCCCCAAGAAGCGTCATCATAAGGAATAAATCTTTATGGAAACCCTGAACAAGATTTAAGAAAGGAAGAAAAAGAAAATAGCAACTAATAACAGTCGAACAAGAACGGAAAGTCAAGGCATAAGTTGAATACACAGAAGCAAACAAGCAAGTCAAGAAGAGCATTAGAACTGACAAGCAGAAATACATGGAAGACCTAGCAACGGCAGTGGCAAAAGCTGCAAGCGAAGGAAATATGAAACAACTATACAACACGACGAAGAAACTAGCAGGGAAATATAATAAACCAGAGAAACCGTTCAAGGACAAAGGCAATTCAAGAATAGAGGAACAGATGGGTAGAATACTTCGGGGAACTCTTGAATAGACCTGCTCCATTGAATCCACTGTATATCGAAGCAACGTATACAGACCTTCATATGGATGTCACTCCACGAACGATCGAAGAAGCCAGGATGTCCACCAGACAAATCGAGAGTGGGAAAGCAGCAGGACCTGATGATATACCAGCGGAAGCACTGAAGTCAGACTTATAAGCAACTGCGAACATGCGCCACATTCTATTTAGGAGGATTTGGGAAGAGGAACATGTGCCGACAGACTGGAAAGAAGGATACCTCATCAAAATACCAAAGAGAGGAGATTCGAGCAAGTGTGAGAATTACAAAGGCATCACATTAATGTCAGTACCAGGAAACCCGACTTCGAGATCAATAGACCGGATTCCGTAAGAATCGGTTGTGCACAGATCAAATCGTGACACTATGGATCATCGTTGAACAATCAACTGGATGGAATTCGTCACTATATACCAACTTCCTCGACTATGAGGCGTTTGAGATTGTGGATATGTAGACCATATGGAGATTTTCTTCGACAATATGGTATACTTGAGAAAATCGTCAACACCATCCGAATTTAAACGACGGACTACACTACAATGTGGTGCATGGAAGACGACTGACAGACGAATTCCAAGTGAGGACCGGAGTCAGACAAGCCTGCTTACTCTAATCTTTTCTCTTTCTTCTGGTGGTTGACTGGATTATGACGAGTCACACATCTGAGTGGAAGCACGGAATACAATGGACAGCTCGGAATCAAGTAGATGACTTGGACTTCATAGATGACCTAGCTCTTCTATCCCATACACACCAACAAATGCAGGCCAGGACAACCAGTATAAGCGGAAGCCTCTGCACCAGTAGGCCTCAACATACACAAGGGAAAAACCAAGATCCTCAAATACAACATGGAGAACATCAACCCAATCACACTTGGTGAAGAAATTCCGGAAACCTTCACATACCCGGGCAGTATCACCGATTAACAAGGAGAATCTGATGTAAATATAAAGGCACGGATTGACAAAGGGCCACATTCCTACAATTGAGGAACATCTCGGACTCAAAATAACTGTCAGCCAACATCAAAGTCAGAACGGTTTCATTGTACGGAACTGAAACGTGGAGAACCAATACAACCATCAACAAAAAGGCATAGATATTTATAAACAGTTTTCTATGCAAGATACTCCACATCCACTGGCCGATTACCATCAACAACAACCTACTGTGGTAGAGAACAAAATAAATTCCGAGTGAAGAGAAAGTTAGGAAAAGACGTTGGAAGTGGGTAGGACATATATTACTAAAGTTATCGAACCGCATCACGAGGCTAGACCTAACTTGGAATCCTGAAGGGAAATGGAAGAGAGGAAAGCCAAAGAACACAGAGTCGGGAATTGGAAGTAGACATGAATAGCAACTAGAAACAATGGGGAAAGATTGCCTAGGACAGATTTCGTTGGAGAATGCTGATGGACGGTCTATGCTTCTCCACGAGGGATAACAGGCGTAAGTAAGCCTTCTTACTAACAACCTGAACGAACTATAACGGCATTCGACAACTGTTAGATGGAATAAATGTTTTCTTATCAGTAACGAGTTTTGACTACTGTTCCGAAGACTTTATATGAATTCTGAGGGTTCATGGGTAAGAGATTTTAGATTTACAATAGTAGTTCGCCAAAACAGGTCGATAGAAGTCAGTAAATCGTAATAAACTCATGAGGAATTGGGCGCATTCGTTATCCTCATGGGAGCCTCCAAGTGCGAGGAATCTATATCTACGAACTCCGACGAATTGATATTTGATCATGAAGAAAGTTTAGAATGTAAGAAGAGGTAAATCAATCTCTTCAAACGTTCACCTTCAGAGTTCTTGAATAAACGTAAACAACAAACTTCTCAAATCAAATATGGCGAACGAATTTACTGTGTTTTACAGAAATCCTGACTAAATGTCTGAGGTATAGCACACCGGAACAATTAGCATTCTGATTCTAACAAAGACTATCTTCTATAATCTTACATTGTTTAGGTTAAACTACATAGGGATAAATAACGCACAACAGCTTATACTTGCCGTAAATTGATTAAGATTAAAAAGTAACATTTACCTCAATTTTGATATTAATCAATGACAAAATATAATTAAAATTTACACATAGTAGAAAAAAAAGGGAAAAAATGCTACATATATGATCCAAAGTTTAATAAATAATAAACAAAGAAAAAAATTATTTTGTTACGATTTGTTAAGACAACAAAGCGAGAATTTGTCAGTCAGAACAAAATCGATGGGACGCTGAATAATTAACTTTGAAAGAGAACGAAGTAGATTTGATGTGCACAGGCGATACAGAGCACTGATGACCTGATTAAAAAGGATCAAATAATGAAAAACGAACACACAGAAACACGTACAGAGAGTAAAACATTAAGACGTAACAGAGACTAAATATACCGTGCAATATGATCAAGTAACAATAAACAAAATACCTGGTTACTAACAGTATGCAAACAAGGCACTTAAAGTTGAGGATTTTTGTTTGAAAATATCATCTGTTTATTCTTTTACAAGTATATATATATTTGAGTGATATATAAGAACAACAAAAACCAGGAATTACAAATTATGAGATAGATAGAAGTCGACGTGGGGAAGATTCATCTGCATTTTAAAACATGATATGCTTCATCAATGTCCTTTCTGTATAACATAGTGAAAAGTAAGCAGCTGAGGGATTAACAAAGAACACCTAGTTTTTTAATCACTCACTGACTTAATCATCAAATGCAAATTTAATACGAGGTTACTGTACAGAGAAAGAAAAAGAGGATACAGAAAAAAATTTGTTTACCTACAATTACCACCATTAGTCACATGATACCTAGGAGCGAGGATACCTTTATCTTTATTCGGGGACTGTCTCTATTTTAAATAATTTTCCTGACTATGGAAATACAAAAGGAATAAACGAGTATATGAAATAACAGTACTTCATAGACATTCTTATTATTTGCTTAAAAATGGTGGTAGTTGGTGATATACCACACAGTATATCGATTTAAAACAATATTAATCTTGAAAGTGCTCCAAGTGAACTTATAGATGTTTGGTTCCCATTTCATGTGAAATTTTAACAAACGATATATAACTAGAGATAAATAGATAATAATAATAATAATAACAAACAATTAAATCTTTCTTGTTAACAATAAGCAAACAATTAACAGAGTGAGGCCGAATACAAATAGACCACTTGAATTAGAATGTGGGGTATACTCGCGTAAAACAGCCACCTAAAATATATTTAATAATAAAAACGTAAGGTGAAATAACTTTTAAATCAGATAATTTCAAAAGAAAATGACTACTTGTTTCAGGTACTATTTTTTGATAAACAGAGTATGAAACTATTATGAATGTGAATGAATAAAACAAGGATGAAATCACTATTTGTTGATATGTAAAAGATTTCTCCATAATGTAATAAACTGAGTACGACTTGTCAAAAATTAATACGTAAGAAATATGAGGTTGACAAGCTATGAAATAAATAATCCTCTTCAATTGTTCTGTACATGAAGTTGATTTTTGGCTAGTGAGTAAACTATTTTGGTAAATGAATCTTTTTATCAACGGTAAGTACACATTTACATACCTTCAGGGAAATTGGACATAATTGAGAATTTAAATGATAATTAACAATCACAATTGATTGATCACTGGGTGGTGATCAATGTCATGCTTGTCTAGTCCTTATTAGTGCAGATCGAATGCTATCGATCATGTTGCAATGTGGCCACCAGTCTAGGTGACTCGACACTGCGGGCACTATGTATTGAGATTAGATGGTGGTTGGAGGTAGTTGACTATATATTCAACGACTGGATGGAGTAGCAGAATTAAGAAAAATGTAGAGTGGTACATCATATCAACATACGGTCAGATCAAAAATCCTCGAGAATTCAGCTCAGAAGGTAATAATAGCCTGTTTTGTAAGGCTTAAGTCTAGTATTTTTACACTACTAGTAAAATATAAGTAGACTGATAGTTCTAAACAAAATTATGTGGGAGACTGATTTCATAAGCGGGTCGTAGTTAAACAACCATCCAGTTTAATCCACTTTACAAAGCTGATGCACCGCCTTTACTCAAGTAATTCTAAAGTCAGCCGGTGGACTAGCATTTTTCTTGTTACTATAGACCACCCGTTGTTTTGAGCAAATGAAGATTGGAAACTAATTAATACATTAAAACCATTGTTACGTTTCATTGAAATACGAAAAATTTCTATGTTGAGTTGAACATTCACAGCAAGTAGAATATCATCTTTCGTGAATAATCCTGCTCAATCACGAACTTTTGGTAACAATATATATACAAAACCCTGATTCCAAACCAATGGTGCACATGGGCTCCAGTATCCTGAGGGAACGAACGGCATATAAACCAATCGTTGGTCACCGGCTACCATAGGACTGCATCTCCTTACGTTGCTCCACTGCCTTGTGGCCCAGACCTTTGGGTCGAAGGCTCCGGGTGTGGCCCTTTCAGAAAACCACCTGATCCGGTTTGGGTACCCGAGCAGTATTCCAGCCCTCATACAAATCGAATGATTTATGTGGTGCATATCTATTTGGTGCCTCCTTGTACCAATGTTTATGTGTTTAAATAATAATAATAAATTTATAATTTGAATTTTGGAATACTTTATATTTAACTGTCAACGAACAACTCTAACTATATACACTGAATAAATGTACAAATCTAGTACAAGTTATCTACCTTGTTCTCCAACAGATATTAATCTCTGATCACTATGAAAAACTGGAATAATTAAAGATGAAAAAGAACAAGTATTATTTTAGGTTCGGTTACTGACTAATGCAAATAGTCCAGCCAATTAAAACTGGTAACTTACCCAACCACCATGACTCTCGACCCATTTGTATATACCATGAATAAAAACAAATTTAACAACAAATTTTATGACATCACCAGCAAGACCACTAAATCCTTTTGAAATTGCATTGACTACCACTTTGACAGCGAACATGAACAATACCACAATTCGTGACCAATTAATAATCCCATCCGAAAAAACTCTAAAATAAGTCAATAAAATGACTCTTTAACTTTATTTCTCCACAGTATAGGGTTGTAAAGATGGTTTAATTTCACTGAAATCACCAACCGACCGAAGTTCATAATCTATGGACCAATGAACTGGGATCAAATCGTGTACAAAGTAAGGGTTCGGGCGCGGGACCGAAGGCTCTAGGTCCGATTCCCGTTTGCAGGGTCGTGGATGTGCCTTGTCGAGAATTCCAATACTAGGATGAAACAACAGTCTAGTGCTTCCAGTTTTTCAATGGTTGCTTAACTTTGATCGGTTCGTGATTTCAATGAAATATATCTCTTTCTAAAAATGGTTTTAAAATAAATTATTTGATAGAAACAGAGATTACCGGTGAACTCCGTTAACTTGACAATATTGAAACGTTAAGCCAATGTAGAACATATCCAATATGGTTTGATGCATAAATTAGTCCAATGATAATAATGAATTTTATTTTACAACTATCAGAAAATAGATAAACATAAGGTAGTAGTATAGTAGTTTTCTAAACTTTTATTTTCACTAGAAAGAATTCTTCACGCGAACAGTGCTCACTTTTTACCGCTTTCAAAGCCTTTTCTCTTATAGTTTGTTGCCTGTAAGTAAATTAATTTTTTCCGACTTCTGAGGACTTTCTAAGTGGATCAGTTTGCAATCACTGGTCTAAATCAATGTTCTTTAATCTGTCCCAAGAAATCGAAGCAATACATGTCTTTTGATTTGAAATGAGTTAGGAAAAGAATAATAGATTGTAGTATCTAGCGTATCAAAAACTGAAGGTAGGAGTTACCTTATGCACAAGTTGTATCACTAGTAGATAACGCGATATTGGTAACTGGACGGTGATCGATGGGAAATCAGTTAGCTTAATCATGTACTAAAAATCTTTCTGAAAATAACCTGAGTGGCAGTAAATGGTTTGTGACTCTCAGTGGTTCAATCTAAAAATAACCACAATGAAAGTCGAATACATGATAATCAGTATTTTAAAAACATTAGGCGAAGGAGTTAGTAAAGATTAGTTAGTCGTTAAGCTTAAGAGAAAATATTTGTCTACATAATGCATGCGAAACGTTTGAGTTACGGACAAGAAAGGAAATAAGAACGGAATGAAATTTCTTTATTATAACTCCTAAATAAACCCAATGGATATAGTTTAAAGTATGTTCACAGAAAGAAAGTCGGTGAAAGTGAACCAGGCAATCTAAAAAATAATTCGACTCTAGTGTAATCATGGGACTTCAGAATAGCCAATGAGTGAAAAAGTTTAAATTTCATAGGTGTAATATGAGTTTGCAAAGCATTATAGATATGTATTTTGCAGGTCAAAAGATCCTTCATAATCGTTATCTTTGTGTACATTACAAAAAATAATACGGAAATAATATACATAACGACATCTGGATACATGAAGTTATTTGGATATTTAGTCGTTTAGATTTCACGTTATGTAAATAATTTTATTATTAAAGTCTAACTATGAATAATTGTCGATACAAACAGAGCCAAATTTGTGTAAAAAGTTATTATGTGAATGAGAAATGTATCGTGGTAACTTATTTGTCTTATCCTTAGTTCAATTCAAAAGATGAGCAAGCCTGGAGATAATTAATATTCCTTAAACTACAGAAACAAGAAAACATGTGAAGAAATCTTAATAGGTGATATTCGAAATAAATCCTCAAAACTGAATGAGAAATATCAGTCAGTATTAGTCGACTTAAGGCTTGCTACAAATATTTATAGGTCTAAGCTGTTATATGCCACGTGAGGATATCGTGAGAGGAAGTAAGCAAGATGAAAATCAAAATTACAGAATGATTTGAAACCCAAGATTCGGAGGAAGACAGAATCAATGTGATTCTGTCATCGCGAACTATTTTGAGCCATGCCAACTAACTATCAATCATGATTAAACCATGGATCCCTACCAACATGAATCAGACAAACAACCAACGACTTTATGAATTGATATCATACCTTGATCTGACCATCCCTGACTTTTTCGACCTAACAGAATGCTAGACAGTATCGCAATTAGAGGTTGACGGCAGCTAAACACAGGTGACACATATTTTAATCACCTCAGATGACGAAAGTCTATACCCTCACCAATCGACTTACCTCAGCATTACTCACTTAATGGTTCAACTATAAGTAAGTAGTTATTTAAGGAAACATAAGGTCAAATAGTTTCAGCCTATGCATTTCCTACTTGTATAGACTACGTTTAGCAACCATGATATGATACAGCTGTACTACAGATGGAGTAAATTTTGCAAAAACTAAGAGCTTTTTAGTATCTATGCTGAGAATTCACTGCCCCCAAATGCCCTGGTACGGTCGAAAGTGGAGAGAGTCCGCTCTCCCTCTCGAAATGCTCTTACATGGTCACGCGTATATAGCCTCTGCCAGGGAAGTCCTATTCACTGCCTTCTCGTGGCGGGAGTGTTGTTTACGGAATTGAAAAGATGAAAAGCGAATGTCTGGCGTTTTGACCGGGCCGATGGACACGGAGAGTCCATCTAGGGGAGTTGCAAAACCCTGATTCCAAACCAATGGTGCACATGGGCTCCAGTATCCTGAGGGAACAAACGGCATATAAACCAATCGTTGGTCACCGGCTACCATGGGACGACATCTCTTTACGTTGCTCCACTGCCTTGTGGCCCAGACCTTTGGGTCGAAGGCTCCGGGTGTGGCCCTTTCAGAAAACCACCTGATTCGGTTTGGGTACCCGAGCAGTATTCCAGCCCCCACACAAATCGCATTTGATTTGTGTGGCGCATATGTATCTGGTGTCCCCTTGTACCAGTATTTATGTGTCAAATAAATAAATAAATAAATAAGTGGGACTTTTAAGATGAGTGAGGCGGTTTAGATGATTGACTAATACCCCCTATGGCAAGACAAAGCACTGACATAAATTAGTTATGAGGCAATGTTTAGCATTTGGTGAAAGAAAAACGCATTCCAGGCATCTCTGTAGTGTTTAGAAAATTAAACTTTCACAGAAGTCTGCTAAACAGAAATGTTAGTTGGGTATCCAAAATGAACAAATAAGTGGTTAATTCCAAAAAATTAGACAAAGAAACGTCTTTAAAAAAACTAAAAAGGAAAAGTTAGGAATCTCTGGAGAAAGCCTCTTAATGTACCCGAATCATATGACGGTTTATCATAAGCTCTAACTTTATTGATAATGTTCGAGTAAAGGGCATGCCTCTTAAAGGACAAACTATTATGAGGTCTGCCAACCAAAAAATTCAAATTAAATCTCCACGTCAGAAAAATACAACAGGAGTCAGGGAACAGTAAATGTGATGACTATCAATATTTATACTTTAGACACTATATTAGCCAAACTTTATTATGGGAAAATTTCTGTTCATACTTCTAAACTAGGATGATTAGTAACTGTGATCAGTTTGAAGGAATTACGTTTAGCCTCCAAAACCATAGTTTTCTTAGTTAACCTGACTGTTAAAACAAAACCAGCTTAGAGATATACGAAGTTGATCGACCAACATCAGATACTCTTCGCTTAGCTAGTTGTGCTTTTTAAACTTCATTGACATGAAAACATGACAACGATCTCCCATTCAAGCTGCTGGTGAGTGATGGGGACCGGAAACCAAATGACAGCCAGTTAGATTTCAGCGCTCAACCTATCGTTGTAGTTGTTTGGTGTAAGAGTAGACCACGGTTCCATCATTTCCAAAGACAGTTTCAAGAACAGTAAACTTTGTAACGACAATTTTCTTAGTGAGTTCAAATAACTGCCTTTTCTATCACTGTTTTTCGTTATATTCAAACCATGATTACCATATAAGTTAAAAACTTAGTGACTTTATTTTACAGCAATAACTGAGATAAGATAAGAATTTAAAAACAATTTAGTTGGTTGGGATCAACTGAGAGTCACAATTCCATAAAACCATAGATTCTTGGATTTTTGTTTTTCAAATCGAATACGATCTTAAGAAAAAAGATTACATTTTGAACTAGAAGCAGCAGTTAGTTATAAAGCTAACTGATGTTAATTTCTCACATGAACTTTTTAGAGTTGGCATCTTTATATTAGTAGAGGAATATCGCCATGAAAATTTGCTCACGGTAGCATGTAAAACATAGTTTAAATCTTAAATATAGGCATAAAATTACTGTTCACAAAACATTATCTCATACATTCCACCATATTGACTCTGGAGGTTTTAATACCACAAAAGATCGAAAACGTTAAGATTTCAGTTCACTGAACTGTAACGAACAAGCTGACAACATGCTCTACCACCTCTAACAAGAATCAATCGATAACACCACAGACGTTTAGGGATTCAAGGAGATTTTGATTCTTACTTGATATTTTTTTCTGATTAATTGTAATACACACTTATCAAATAAATAAACCGGACAATTTGTTATAAAGTTAATTAGAATCAGGTCAAACAAACTAGTAGAAAGAATATTAGATGTAAAATGGAGATCTAGACCTGGAAATTAGGACGTTTTTACTAGTAACGAGAGACTGATAACGAGATAATCAAGTGTTTTCACAACTTTCCACAGATAATCTCCATTTCATATTGTACGGGATCATGAGAAAATCCAAAAACAGGACACAAAACACATAGATGCTTCTACTAGACAAAGTGATATTTATAATAAATATTTACAATAAAAATAGCAAGAAGGTGAAAAGACATTTACCCTTTTGCAATCTGTAGAAACTTTTCATAGGTGGCTGACTTGATCCACATTTCAGCATCTTGATTCAATCGTTCGCCATATTGAGCTTCTAACTCATTTGATATTTCTATAAGACGACCAATTAAAGCTTGTGTCCTAAAATTTATTTTACGACGTTTATATTGGTCTTACTCCATATCAGTTGAAGTTCGCCGGCGTTGAACAATCCCTGCACTTTGTTTTAGCTTTAATCTGACAAATTCTTCAACTATTGTTTCTGTTTCCATCGTCTTCAAATCATCCCCATCAGCTTGGTGGGTATTCATGGGATCGTCACATTGACCGGAAACGGAACAGTCACCAGACATGGTCTATGAAGAATGGATTTAGCGAACAAATGTATGGCAATCATGATAAAACTACTGAAGCGTCAAGAATACATATAATAGTGATCTACAATTCACATTATGTTGTTCGTAAAAAGGCTACTAAAGATTATGAAAACCATTGAAGGTCAGTAGAATCTCTTCACTGTTGTTTATTTCTTCCAAATATTTGTTTTGATAACAGACCACTAGCAAGTCGCTTTCAGAGACGATTTGATTCAGCAAAGATTCTTTAAATTGCACCACCAAACTTCCGTACCTTTTAATTATTGCTGATAACAACACTTTACGAATCCCGTAACTATGTGACCATTTTACAAAAATAACTTGACCTTTAATGTCAACCTTTGCCGCTAAGTTCGTAGATTCACAACAGTAGTTGATGTCTGTGGGTTTCTACGCAGCCACTAGGTCCTCCTAACATTAAATAAGTATTGGTTGTAAAATATTGCACGGATATGAGCATGTTTATGTGAAGGGAAAGTCAGGGTTCTGATATTTTTATTAAATCTTAGTCTCAGTCAGTCCATTAGGGCCACATAGGTTGCCAAAAACTTTAAAATCAAAAGAGAATTTTGTTGGTTCGGGATAGTAATGTAATGACAAACAGGATTTAGTTTCAGAGTGATACCAGGCCCTCCGAATCACTTACAACAACAGCTAGAGTACTCCATGCTGCTTAAGAGTATTTTCGTCATCACTTTGTATAAGGAATATCATTAGGGTTTTCGGGAAAGCCTTAAAAGTGGTTTCACGACATGAAAATACAAGGATGTTGTACTAGAAGCACTATCAAAAGATCCTGAAGTGGGTGAATACTTTATATAGCCCTTAAAAACTTTGTGGATGTTTATTATCTTACAAGACTTACGAAGTTCGTTAAAGATATTGCATTAAGACAACTAATCCATGTTTACGAAAGCTAATGAAACCAAACGAGTTCCAGCAGTAAGTGTGAAACAATCGAACCTATTACCAACTCATACTTTCCGTAATTTGCAAAACACTCATGTTTTGAACGGGAGACATTATGCTTCCATGAAAAAGGATATTCTTCAAGAATGGCCATAGCTCTAGAATAAACGAAAACTTTTCATAACACCCGAAAAGATAGCCATATGATTGAAACTAACTTTTTAAGGTGGTTAGAAAACGTTTAAACTTTAAAAGACAACAGAACGTCTTTATTAAGAATCTGTACGACAAACTATCCAGGTAGCGCACACTTTTGGAAACCTACCTCAAACCTTGACCTTTTTCAGTAAGCCGATTCAGTAGGCTTGGAATTTTATGACATTAAATTAGTTATATATACTTATAGAACTTCCGTGTGTAACCACGACCTGGCAGTCATCTCGAGATGTTCAACTCTTGATTAGAGAGTCTAACCAAGTTCTTATGGCTGCAGATGACATTCCTTAAATGTCAAAAAAATCATCTTGGAATCAACTAAGCTCGCACAACAGGTCATCAAAGCACCCCTTAGTATCTCAGAAGACTCATCAAACTAGGTAATCGAAGTCTTACAACTATGGGCAAACAACACCTAGCAATCTGTTTAACGAAGCACCCACAGATACAGGTTTTACAATCGAACGTGAAGAAGGAGGCGAATTCCATTTATTAGATATTGAGATCATGCGAACGTCAAACGGCACACTACATAGACCCATCTGCCACAAAAATACGTGGAGAAGATCTGTTTAAATTAAACATCTCCAGTCCTATAGGTTATAAAAAGGGGATTGCATAAACTTTTTTGACTGCTCTTATAAACTTTGTTCAAAGGAAAGCTTGGAAGAACTTGCGTTCATTATGAATCTTCTACGTGAAAATTCTTGTCCATCGAAATTCATCGGGAGGTATGTAGTGACTTACTTTTATCACAAGAACACGATTGGTTTAATGAAAACAATTATTATTATAACCAATTGTACCAGTGACTGCTTTAATGTGCTCTTTGTTTAACTGTGCTAAAAACATCCACTATACTTACTTAGATTGTGACCTCGCGTGAATCCGGTTACGCTCAGTAACGAAGCTTGTATCCTGGCACAATCTTGGTATTCTTTCGATACCACGAGATCACCAGCATATATATCTCGACTTGGTCCATTAACTGCCTTCTGATATTTGGCTTCCGGGGGATTTTATGGATATCCTAGCACGCGTTCCTTTGTAGTGGTGCTCATAGTCAAGTGGGACTAGACACCACGCTACAGGTATACCAGAATCAAAGTACATCTTAAATGCGATACAGTGGAAAATAAAACGTGTTTCTTATATTTGCATTTCATAGATGAAATCACTTGAATAATCAATAGCAGGATTAATGTCACGATGAAGGTTGCTTATCCACCAACAAGACTGACGACGTTATGTGAAACGAAATGCTCGTTCAAGCAAGTAGGAGTTGATGGGTCCTCTTTCATCAGTACCCCTATCTACATCTACTAGTTTACATGTACGTACCAAGGTACATAAATTAGACGAACAAGAAGTGGTGTATATGCTCGCATTTCCGAGTACTTTTCGAAAAGAATTGAGACTGCGGGGACCAGTGTCTCTAAACAGTGCACTAGCTTGGTATCTAATTGATATTGAACAAACCATGGGCATTCTACAATCCTTCAAAATCATTAGTAGACGGGAAAAACAGTGTCTCGTTGGTTTGCCAAAGCAGTTGTAGTAAAAAGCCCAAATCCGATCTATGTATCCAGAAAGAGACTGCAATCAATTTATTGTTACCTTGGTAAATTGTTATGGTTCTTTTATTAGTATTTATTTGCCATGTGGTCATCACCAAACCAATTCCTGCTTTGTGTACACTAAAATCATTCTTTCATTCACCAGCTTTTATTCCCTTCATTCTTTAAACGTATGTAAGCTCTTGAAATCCTGTTCAGTTATTGCGTAACCCATGCTGTCGATTTCTAATTCTAGTAGTCTTACGTAGGTCTTTTGCAACCTCCATAATTACCACACAGTCTATCTTACCCATTTCCGGACCTCATTTAATTTATGCCTGACCTCCCCACATGTTTTCTGAACTGTGTCTCAAATGACTTCACATCTGTTCCTGTACAAATATATATCTAAGTATACAGATAGGCAATATTAATAATCTTTGTTATTTTAGTTCTTTCTGTCATTAATTTTAGTTTTTTCACGTTATATTTTGCCTCAGTGTTACATTTCAACTGATGAGAAACCGCGAAATGTGACGAATTGCTATTATTCCCCTTCAATCATTGTTTCGGCTTTAGTCAAATTCATAAAGGGAACCAATTGCATTGAACATGTAGAGGGGTAAAGGTCCTATTTTTCGGCAGAAATCTTTCAACATTCGATAGAGAATGATGGAAAATAGAATACTGACAAAATAGGGAAGTCGAAAAATAATTTAGTGTTCTAATCCTAATAGGATATTTTCATCTAATTCCAAATCCACTCAGTTGAACTGTTACAAGTCCATCAGATTGATCAAGAATAGCTAAGCACGAGATTCAAACAAACTACAAGTTAAAGCTCTAAAGTTAAATATGGAGTCCATTAGATTATTATATCTTATATTTTTTCTGAACGGTCTATGATTTCAAGGTAATAATAAAAAAGCCCTCACAAACAAAAAAGAGATTTTGGGACACTGTTTTGCTAATTTCGGAATCTACAAAGTACTAGTATTTGGTTTTGTACTAGCCTCACCCTACAGTTTATAAATTTTCTGATAATTTATAAAGCGCTGTCCTATTTCCTATAGTTTTAACACCAGTGGAATTTAAATCTTATTTCTGAACTACTATTTTCGGCTGCAAAGTATTATTTTGGATATAATTGCATTTTCCTCACTCCTTGTAAGTTGTGGTCCTGCTAGTCATATATTTATTCACCTACCTCTTTTTACTAGCATAGGGGTCGTGAAGATTATTAGGTTTTTGATTGAGATCACGAACCGATTGATGTAAGACCACCACAATTGAAAACCTGGAAGCACTGGACGGCTATTTCGTCCTATTGTGGTACTCCTCAGGACGAAATGGCCGTCCAGTGCTTCCAGGTTTTCAATTGTGGTGGTCTAACATCAATCGGTTCATGATCTCACACCTCTTTTTAGTTGACTAAATGAGGAATAAACCGGACAAAGAGCTCCATATAAATCGTCTTCCATCTCTGCTTGCCAACCATTTAGGCAGTAATAATCCAGTGCAAGGGAGACTGAGTGCCAACCGAGTGGGTTAATTGTATCTCATTAAGACAGTGAGAAAAGAGGACTTTGCAGACTCTATGACTACATTCGATATTGACGAGCATCTATATCCCACTAGGTTAACGGCCTTTAAACAACTTAGTTGGCCCGCTGTCATGTGAGAAGCTAGTCTACATAACCTTACTGTATAGTTACATTACTGTCTATCGTAATCCACACTATATGGGCAGTTAAAATTACCTTTTTGTAGAAGCCTTTGGAAAACAAAAACACGCCTATCAGCAGAGCGGCAAATTCAACACATGGACGTAGGTACGTAGAATGATTCAATCTGAGTTTCCGAATCACGAGTGTTCAGTGATGTTTCCGAGCCAAACTTCGTTACCTTCATCACCTTTCGTCTACCGTTCAGAGTGCAAAAATAATACTGTCGAGGTGAGACACATTCAGCTTAAATTATCATACAATTAGGAATGAGTGCTATCCCCCTGCCAGTGCATCACTCTTCCGCTGGTTTGATACCAAACCAATTAGGTTTGTTTTGTGAAGCGAGTTGTAATGAGACGAACAAAAAAACTACTGTGGTACAATGGAAGAAATTTTTAGTTACATGAATTCAAAGCATACTACAAACTAACTAACACCCTTCGAAAAATCCTCCTGATAGTCTTTTAAAACCTGAACAATTCTAAATGATGCCAGCGACAGAAGTGCATGGTAACTCAGTGACCATCAGATAAACATAAAAGTGTCAAAATAAATCGAATGGGCTTTTTTATCTATAATGATAGGTAAGTACCCGAAAGTTTTCATATAATGTGACGTCCTACTCGTGTCACGAGAAAAGAAGCCTTATCATCCAACCAACTTAGACATTTTGTTCAGGCTGCCATATTTAATTTATTTCTAACTCACAACACCAATACACATAGGAATTTAACCCTAATTTTTATACCACAAAATGTTATATTTTCCACACTCACCAACATATTAACTAGTACACTAAAATGTTTTGCTAAAACGCCGTTGATTGTATTGTTATAACGAAGTTTCTGACTTGGTCTTTTTAAAAGGGTACTTGATAACTAACTTCGTAACCATCAAACAAACAGCAAAAATCTGAAGTTTTAGGTTTTAACTAGTCAAATTATAGTCTTAGTTTCTAAATTATCACTGTGGTTCTCAACAATAATTACAATGACAATTTTTGTGGTATGCCTTCGATTTTTCGAATGTATCAAATATTTTTGCTTTGTTTTCTTGTACGTAAGCTTATGTTCTCTGAAGAGGTCTCTTATAATCAGTCACGAAACATCAGACAATTATTTTTCATTCAACAGGTATACTACGAATACATCATTACTTTTATTCTTACCCATTAACCCAGTGTTCAAGTTATTTGAAGTCATCAGGTCGAACCTCATTAGTGACGTTATGGTTAATAATTAATACATTTACTGTACAATAAAGTATTTACTACCGTGTGTGAATTCGCTATGACAACTTAGTACAATTTCATGCTGCGCACTTCAAATTTTTATGGTTCGGACCTTGCGTCAGATAGCAAAACAGGCTTCCTTAGCTAAGAATCTGGGATCCCGCACCACTGATGTATGTTGCGTTTCCAGAGCGCACACACAGGACTCAAGTGCTATCATTTATTTGACCTCACCCCATCAGTATAAAGAACAGGCACGGTTTACTCCTTGAGTATCTGAATACCTCATTGCTACTACTCTTGGCCCGGCTGTCATGAATATCAGACTAAGTTTAAAAGCAGAACAGGTTATGTTAGACTACACTACAATAGACTGTTTACTAAACAGGACAGTAGGAACTGGAAAAGATATGGTCACAAAGCGTTTCATTTTCGTTATCTTTGCCTACTCTACCATTGGTTGCTGCTCGGACGAAGTGAAATACAAATTTATGGGGAGTTATCCAACCTCCCTCAAAAAGCTAAACAATCTGCTTTAGTAATAGTGGCGGGTAATTTTAACGTCAAGTAGGTAAACTATGCCGAATCAAGAAA